ACATTCAGAGCTTATCACAATTTAGTCAGGAAATATCTTTTCCCCAGTAACAAAGAAATTGTGAAATAAACCAAGCTATCATAACAAATGTTGCTCACAGTTGGTCAGACAATGATGCATAATCCGTTAGCTTAAAGTTCATTAAAATAGCGCTTTCCTAGATCAATATGATATATGTTTCAATTATTTCTATTCATTACATTTGTTTACATTGCAGAGCGGCTAGCCGAATGGTTAGAACACTACGCTCTTTTTTGTGAGACCAGGGTTCGAATCCACGGTAATTACAGAATTCATTCATATTCTTAGTCCACTTAGCTCTCGGGGAAAAGTAAAATCCTTATCTGCACAGTCCGTGGCGACAGTACTAGACATCTAAGTCTCCCGGCTCAAACCCCTTCCCCCTCCCCCACCCCGTTTTTACACCGCAAACGTGGTGTGCTAAAGGCAGTAACTGACAGTTTACACTGTGTGAGTACCTAGGGCCTCACTGGGGGGGGGCTTCACTGTGTGGGGGCTTCACTGTGTGGGGGGGGGGCTTCACTGTGTGGGGGCCTCACTGTGTGGGGGGCTTCACTGTGTGGGGGCCTCACTGTGTGGGGGGCTTCACTGTGTGGGGGCCTCACTGTGTGGGGGGGGGGGCTTCACTGTGTGGGGGGGCTTCACTGTGTGGGGGGGCTTCACTGTGTGTGGGGGGGCTTCACTGTGTGGGGGGAGGCTTCACTGTGTGGGGGCCTCACTGTGTGGGGGGGGCTTCACTGTGTGGGGGGGCTTCACTGTGTGGGGGCCTCACTGTGTGTGGGGGGGGCTTCACTGTGTGGCGGCCTCGTGGGGGCCTCACTGTGTGGGGGCCTCACTGTGTGGGGGGCTTCACTGTGTGGGGGCCTCACTGTGTGGGGGGGGGGTGACAAGAATAGTTCTACTACCTCCCTAATGAACATGTCGTAAGAGTCGGCTTATTAGGTTTTTCCATCGAAGTCGAAGCTGGTCTACTTGAAAGGCAAGGAACTAACAGTCTGCGTACAAGTAAGCAAGATCAGTAACACGGATGTGCACGCTTAAAACTAAAGTACTGGACCATGACTAAAGTCTAGAGGTGGACGAACAGCCAGAACTTTCCGCCACGGTTTACAGTCGGTGAACCCGAAAAAAGTAAGAAAAAACAGACATTGCTATTATTGGAGCAACTGCTCTGTTTTCATTTATATGTCCACATATTTTGCTGCCTTATTCAAAAATTTGAAAAAAGAGTGAGAGTCAGGGGGAGACATAGAGGAAGAAAACGAAAGAACGAACCAACAAACGAACTTTGTTTCAAAAGTGTTACGAACTGGACACGGAGGTCTGTCTTACATTTTGTCCTTCAAAGAATTAATCTTTCACGTGGAAACTGTATTTTATGTATCAAACATAGTATTTTCATATAACAAAATTTATAGTATGAATGTAAAATAAAAATGGGTGATAAATGCATTCCTTCAAACATAGATGCAAACATACGTACACATCAGACACACACTAGCACACGGAGAGAGAGAGAGGGAGGGAAAGAGAGAGAGGGGGGGAGAGAGAGGGGCACAGAGATACATAGAGAGAAAGAGGTGGGTAAAGAAGAGGAGAGAGAGAGAGAATGAGACTGAGAGAAAGAGAGATGGGTAAGGTAGAGGAAAGAAAGAATGGAACTGGGGTAAAGAAAGATGGGGACGAAAGAGGGGGAGGGAGAGGGAGAGAGAGAGAGAGAGAGAGAAAGAGAGAGACAGAGACAGAGAGATCAACCACACAGGACTACGGTGTACAGTTCGTTTGGTGTAGCCATCACTAGTTCCCGAGTTAAAAACTCCATACACTCCATAGAGGTTCAATGGAGTATTGGAAATTTGCCCCGCTGAACTCTCATCAAGGACCCAACTTCAGCTGGAGCCGGTCGTGCTCAAGTCATCCTGTAGCTGTCCGGATATTTAGGGTGGGGAGAAAGAACAGGCGTTTCGCAAATAAAATTGGTTGGCCTACCAGTGAGAACAGTTTGAAAAGCTCTGCACTAGATCATATAAACATTTGCTATCTACATAAGACTCCGTGTTGCATTACCAGTCGACGTGAGCGTTGTTATCACAATTGACGACACTGTACTTAAAGCATCCCACGCTTGCTTTGTCCTGCAAAGCGGCTGTCATTCCCCAAACCTCCGCTGAATGTTCCAGAATAAGTTGGTTATAATGGCTTGAATCTTAACCAAGTAAACGACATAGATGTATATTGCCAGGCTAATCTCCCAGGTCACGAAATCGGGTTAGCACCAGAGACTCCTCGATATCCACAAGCCTATTTTATATAGCAGTGGCTGCGGGAACACTGGCCTACAAATCATTTGAAGACTCATCACCGTTATACTATTAAAATAGGGATGGGTGGGGGAGGGGGCCCACACAGGGGTTTAAGCCTCGTTTTAAAGTTATAGAACTCTTTTCTACACCTTTAGTCGTACTGAGCATCTATATATCTAGACTTATATTTTATAGATCAATTGTCACATGGTGGGTGATGTGATGTAGTCAGCATCACACTGTCCGCCTTTACTTCCCACGACTGCACATGGTACCTATTCAAGGCTGTGTCGACCTGGGAGCCGAAGTCATTTAAAAAAAAAATTTAAACCGGTTTCCTCAGGAACGGAACCCAAAACCATCCGATCCGCAGGCGGGAGTCTAGCCGCTACACCACGGTGACTTCCCAAAGGATTGTTTTGGTACATAATATTGTTACTACACGCAGTAGATCCGTTTGAGGTTTGAACAACGGACCAACATCATGGCACACGGGTAGCAACCCATGAGTGCTCAGTTCTTCTTCTAACTCAAGTCTGAGTCCGAAGAAGCTCAGCACAGTCCACAGGCTCTGTAGCACCGGTGAGGATCCTGAAATACTTAAGGTAGATTTTTAACTCTAAATTGCGCCCTGACAGCACCGTTAGGCTACTTTTTTTTATATACCAACTGCCAAGAGATTTTTAACGTGCTCAACAATACACACGGGCGTCTGATCTCACTACCCAGAGACTAGGGGAAAATACTAGAAGTCCAAGTGAAAAAATCCCAGTCCTTACCGGGGATTGAACCCGAAACCTTTTGCACTCGAGGCGCACACCATGCCTCGAGACCACGCAGCCCCAATATAGATCCGAACATCCAGGGAGTTTGGCTAATGAGCAGCATCTTGACTAGGAAGCTGAAATCTTCTGGCCACATCCACGACGGATTGGGGGCAGGGGGAATATCAGCAGAAGGCATCGTACTAGTACGGAGGGGCAGGGGCCGACCAACACGCAGATAGGCACAGGATATAAGTGACTCCTTGGATCTGGAAGTGCACGAGGCGGGAAAGCTGGCTAGAGACAGAGTTTCTTTCAGGCAGACCGTGATGAGAGCGAAGGACCTGTTACATGATGATGCGAGTGTATGCTGAACGACTAGCAGAATATTCTCCTTTCTGTGAAATGCTGCCTTAGCTTGAGCTATGCTGCATTTGACATCCTTAATCCATGTTCCATCTACTGCTATCGGGCTACTCCAGTAAAGTAAGTAAAGTAAAGTAAAGATCTCTTTACACGCCTTAAGTCGTAACGGACATATGGGAAGAGCGCCCATATTTTTACAGACCATCAGCACTCTGTGGGTAATGTGGTCAGCATTACGCCGGCCGTCTTTACTTCCCCAGGACAGCCATCCTGGTACCCATTCTAGGCTGGGTCGACCTGCGACGCCCCATACCATGATAAACATCCACGCAGCCAGCAGTGGGGGAGGGGGGGGGGGGTTACTCCAGTACATAAATATATCAACATGCTCGAGGATTGACCATTTACTTTGATGTTGCATTTTGGAGGATCAGTTTTCTTCGTAATTACCATTACTTTTGTTTTTCGACTCTTCAAACCAAAACTCTTGTTTTGAATTTCTTTTACAATCATGCCCATCATTTCTGGCAGTAATTTAAGCTACATAAAAAAATATATATATTTTTGTTTCCAAGAAATGCAACCATATATTCTGCATTTCCTCATCTCAGGATATAAGTTGGACTAGCACAACTTGATAGAGACAGTGTATATTCTTTGGTCATGTGATGAGAAGGAGAAAATTGGAGTGCATCGTTACAGTAGAAAAGTTGTAGGAAAGAAGAGGCGGGGGGGGGGGGCAGGGGGAGACCAGGAAAACAGATGCTGGACGGTTTGACAGCATGCCATAGAGGATCATCTGTGTCAGAGTTCACTAAAAGTACACGAGACAGAAGGTTGTGGATAAGAATGATTACCAATGCCACACGACACGGAAGAAGCACAAGATAATTGCTTCCATGTTCATCTGGAGGCTATTATAAATTAATCAATCATTTGATCAATTAATTAATAAATTTTGTATTTTTTTTTTTGGGGGGGGGGGGGGGGTGGTGATATTTCACTTTTTTGTTTGAATCTTGTGCCACCAGTGACATTAGTTGCTTTCTACTTGACCCATCGTGATATTAAAATTGAAAAAGAGAAAGAGAGATGAAGGAGATGAATGAATCAATGAAAGAATGAATGAATGAAGCAAAAATGTATATCGCTACGCTCAGAGAAATCTCACACGCGTTCTGTCCCCTTCAGCAGTGACCAGTGAAAATGTCAGTAATACTAATGATCCCAGCTGCAAGCTAATTAAAAATCTAACAACATCAAGAATTTAGTTTCCAGAAGCCATGAGCAAAAACATGAGTTAAAAACCCTTAGTCTCGGTATTATGGATATCTCAACCCTTCGGCCTTGATTCCATGATAGATACCGTAAATCTAGGAGAAATGTGGATTTTCTGCCTACCTCCGGGCGTGTACCCGGACCACAAGGAGTTCGTCACCCGGTCACCGCTTAGTCCGGTGTAGCCAACTACGCTAGCGAGAAGGGCACATCAAAAAATATTTTTTATAAACAATATAAAGTAAAACTCTCAGAAACATTTCCCTACCTTTCTAGGCGGGAAAGTTCCGTAACTATCTGCCATTTCTGACTGCTGTACTGCCTACTAAAACAGTAGAGAATTATCTGCCTTGTGTATCGTATTCCTCCCGCAAACACACAAACATGACTGACCATCACAGGAAATTATTGTTATCTACGCTAATTGCAGACACCTACCGTTGATTAGATTTGGTATCTAATCAGTTATGCATTGCTGCACACGACATAGTTGAAGCAGATATCCCAACTGCTGAATCATATGGCGCAAAATATGAACATGTTTTTATTTACTGTCAGACGCAATCACGTTCTCCATTCGTGGTAAAGCACTTCAACTCTCTCAAGAGAAGGGACGCCGACACACACACAAAAACATTCTCGTGTGGGGGTGGGGGGTGGAAAGCATATTTTCGATTGTGGGGTAGTTGGCTCAAAGGAAATTATTCTTAAGCGAGTAATAATATTATTAGTAATAATAACAATATTGTGCTCAGTGACAAGTAAATGTAATAATATATTTCAAACAATATAAAATGTATGCACCAAATTCAAAAGAATATTTATATACTTCTATACCTGGTTGGGGACAGTGGGGAACAGATGGGGAGGGGGGCGTACTTAAACTGCTTGCACGTTTTCTTAGAGGTGAGGAAACTCGGCCCACCCCAAAAAATATGGTGGTGGGGGGGGGGGGGGGGGGACAGCTCGAGGTGCCTGAACCCCAGGTACTGGCGCCCATGTTTAAGACTTCAGTAAGTCGACTACAGATTTTGTTGCTGCTCTGCTTAACACTTTCAGTAACAGGCAATTGTTACTTTTCTTCATAGTTACAAACCCTTTTTCCCACAGTTCACTAGAACGTCAGTGCATACAAGTCCGATACACACAAACCTCTTTTCGTAGTGCAGAGAAACTGAACGTTAGTGCATATGTCTGCAATAAATGTGGGTACTTTTTCATTTCTCACCCCCAAAGTACAAATCAGTGGGTCGCACTCCGACAGATTCGAGTATCTTTTCATAGCTCATCCCAACTTAATTTCAATAATCTCACCTCCATAGATCCGAGTCCCTTTTCATAGTTCACGAAGTCAAAGTCATTGTATCTCACGAACTTTATTTTCAAAGGATCACGAATTGGGCACGCAAGCCTGTCTTACATTCAGCTCTTCCACATGAAAGTCAGTGCAAACGAGGTAAGAGTCAGTGCATCTAACTTTGACAGATCCAAGCCCTTTTTCATAGTGCATACAGACTGAAAGTCAATGCATCTCACCTCGATAGATCCAGGCCACTTTTCGTAGTGAAGATAAACTGAAATTCAATGCATTTCACTGCTTTGGCGTTAGCCCCTTTTGGTAGCGTAAACAGAACGTCGATGTATCAATGATATATACAAGCTTCTTTTCATAGTGCAAACGAACCGAACACAAAGCACTGACTAATGCCTGTTACAACACAGCATGTCCTTCAAACGATGGCACGCGGATCGACACCGGTCCGAGAGAATATTCCTAGTGGTTCGCCAAAATTTCAGCCTATTCATGAATTGACTACCTGGGTTAAATGATGCCAAGCGAGTAAGGCGTTAATCAAGACAATGTAGCGCCGTAAATATAGACGAAGAGTTTTAGCCATTTACCGGTCCATAAAATAGTACATGTAGAGTATTTGGAGAGAACTTAGCAAGCTCCAGTGGACCAATAAGTGAAGAGAAGACGGTGGGGTTGGATAGGACACACACTGAGAAAACCGGAGAACCGCAAAACTGACTGGCTGACTTTCTACCCCACCAGGACATCACACAAGCGACCAACACCCGATGACACAAAGTGCCACCATGCGGATGAGGATCGCCGTGGAGAGGTCCCAGAAACCGCGTTCAGACAATTGGCCATATTTATGGCCTGCCTATATTGCGGCCCCTGGCAAAAGCTAGAGTGGGGCTTCAAATAACAAAAAATTTTGTCCTGAAAAGGACAAAATTGGATTATATACCGCTAAACTAGAATGTCTTTGCATTAAAACCCACAGGGGCATAGAGATAAAGGAAGGCCAAAATAAAACACATGGAGAAGAGAGCTGGAGAATACAGTTAGAAAAATAGGGAGGACATAGGGAGATTACCATGTAATAGGAAGGATAAAACGACTTGGCGTGAGTTGGTTGAGGGGCTATGCTCCACTGGGGGATGGAAAGGCAGAAGAAAAAGAAGAAATTATCCACATGTTTTTTCAAAAACAAAGAAAAGTTGAAGAACGTTGCCCTAAGTAATTTACAGTCAGGTATTTGTTGCAGGGTTTTTTTTCCCAACACGTAGTCACAGCTGTTACTCAGTCGATACAAATGCCTTTATGAGAGCAGAAACATACTTTTCAGTTGATGAAGGTGAACTTGAATCTAGGCCTATGAACGACAGATATATACATTTATGTTTCATGACCTAGTAAAGACAGATCAAGAATTTACAATTTTTACGTCTTTGTTCCAAGTATAAGTTAGGTCGCAGTTTTATATATATAAAACTTTTTCATGACTGAAGAAACCAGCCCATGCATTTGTTGCCCAGTGTGTTGTTTCACTGGAAATTTGTTCTTGTCTTTGCTTTGGCAGTAGCTAGGTTAGTAACGTGTCCTTCACTTCAGTGTTCCTCAACTTTTCACAGCAGTGTTCCTCAACTTTTCACACCCGTGGCACACTAAATCATAGGCACTTCTTTCGTGGCTCATCTGACAGCTAACCAAACACAAGAATAAAAACAAATGTAGACAGCAACCATTTTATTAAATGTCATGTCTCAGTATACAAAGTCCTGCTAAATGCAGCACCTGCAGTTGTGCTCAGAAAAAAATATATGCTATTGAGCGAGATATCCTTGTTTTATATCCTTTACAGAACGTTGAACTAATCTGTCATGCACCCAGAATGGATAACACAAGACTCCTCCTTTAAACCCTAATATGGACACTGAAAAGGACGAGAAAACGGGGAAGACCGAGAGAGACTCGGCGTAGAACCATCATCAGAGAAGGCTCAACCATGGGCCTGACAAACATCCAAGACCTAAAAAATATGAGAGCGAACCGCCAAACACGGAGAGCTATAACCTCTGCTGTATGCGCCGCCCTAAGCTTAAGAGGAAAGACTAACCAACTAAGAGAACGCTGCAGAACCAACCCTAGCAATGTCTTTTCTTGCCTTTGAGGTTTTTCAAAGCAAATTTTACGTTCAGTAGTTTGCCATTGCTTTCTTAAATAAACAATCAGTCTCGGCACCGCTTTCGAGAACAACGCAAGACATTCTGCTGCCAAATCGTCTGCAGCTAGGATCGAACCCGGTGCCCCGACATTTCTAAGCGCGTTCGCAATGCCTACGCCACAGACAGCAACTCCCACATTTTTACCCATCATGTTTTCAGCCTTGATGTGTTATGTAATCTTGGAAAGAAAATGTAACCCACTCTACTCAGTGAGATTATTACACATAACAATCTGGCGGCCCACCGGGACCTGCCGCTTGGCCCACCGGGACTTTCCTACAGCCCACTAGGACTTTTCCACGGCACACAGGAACTTTCTTAAGGCCCACCGGGACTTTCCTACCGCACACCGAGACTTTCATTCGGCCCACTGAGACTTTTCCCCCACGGCCCACCGGGACTTTCCTACGGCATACCTGGACTTTGCCACGGCCCACTGAGACTTTTCCCCACGGCACACCGGGACTTTCCTACGGCACATTGGGACTTTCCTACGGCCCACCGGGACTTCCCCACGGCACACCAGGACTTTCCTACGGCACACTGGGACTTTTCCACGGCCTACCAGTGAGCCGCCACCGGAATAAAACCATTGTTTTACAGGGTGTTCCATATGTGCCCTTTACAGAATGTGAGAAACCAGCATAATTTTTTTTTTTGCCTGTTGTGGTATTTCTAGGCAAATTTACACCCAGTGGTTTGCCATTGCTTTTGCCATTGTTTAGTAGTACTTCGCTCACATAAAATACCTTTTCTAAGCATATGGTGCATTGGGCATATAATATATTTTTACAAACCAATTGTCACTCGGTGGACAATTGGTCAAGATCACGCATGCCACCTTTACTTCCCTGGATATTATATGGTACGACAGACGAACAGAAAGATAGCGCAAGTTCTACCATTTACAAGGAAGTCGCTGTGGTGTAGCGGCTAGACGCTAGCCTGCAGTTCAGGTGGTCATTGGTTCGGGTCTTGGCGGTACCGTATTTTTAAAAATAAAACTTTGGCTCCACAGTCGACTCAGCTTTGAATGGGTACCAGGTGTAGTCCTGAGAAGCAATGCTGTCTACATCACCAAGTAAGTGCCGTCTGATTTATACAATTTTAGTCTAGCCCTATATGCCCAATACGCCACAAGGAGTGGAACATTCTCTTTTACTTACTTCACTTACTACCATTCACAAAGAGATATCTACATGTAGTTATCACCAGCGTGACGATGCAGAATATTCACACTACTTGACCGCGTCGCTACAAGTGGGTCACACTAAAGCTACAAGTTTAGGGGTTAAAGGGCGCCGCTTGTGTGTGTTAGATGTACTTGTTGCGTTCGTCAGGGAAGGGGGGAGGCAATGATTCAGCAGTCTGTAAATCTGAAACATCATTGTCGGCTATCAGGATTCTTTGGAAATAATTTGCGCACGTACAGGGAAAGTTATCTCCGCTGATAACTTTGTCTTAGTCGAGGTTTCAACATCAGCGCAACCGGGTTTCCCCATACTTGCTCCGTTCCTGTGCCAGTGCAAATCAAATGAAATTCCCTCGCTGTCTTGTCTGAAAAATTGGTGAACAAGCAATTAGTCCCGGGACAATCCAGCAGTAAATTTCATTTGGCAGTTGTAAGAAGCGCCAAAGCCGACAGTTGCCACCAGAAATGCAGTTTGTGGTTGATGGGAGTATTCGAGCACGATGAGTTGGCTATACACACGTAGAATTATCACACAAGGTGTGTCACCAGCTCACACGTAAACCGACTACCGGCTATATTTAACACCACGACAC